GACTGATAACCACAAAGCTATTTCTTTAAACCCGTTTAGGCGCTAAAGCTGTTGTGAGCGGCAGAGGCTAGGCGTGCCTGCAGAAGGAGAAGGGGACAGATCTTGCTCGGCCCTGTAACTTTCCACTGGTCTGTTTTGTGTCTCTCGACTGTGAGTTTTTTCACACTTGATGTCTCTTCTGTAAGTCCAAAAAAAGGCATGAAGATATGATCAGGCAGACACGGTTGCATACCACGCAGGCGTTTCAACCAAATCACGTCCCCGTTCAGAGCCGGTCCACGTTGAGGTGACTTGCCGTCAACAGCAAACAGGGAAAGGCGATGGAAATGGTGCTGGCGGAACCTGAAAGAAGTGGGGGCTCCGGAGGGAGGTATTAGTATCCAAATGGTTTGATGTTCGAGAAAAGACAATGGCAAGCACCTCTCCAGGCGCCCCGAAAAACAGAAAAGCTCTTCAAAGGAACAGCCGTCAGTTGTTTGCAAAAGTTTGGGTTTATTGCTTTCAATCAGTTTAGGTTTGAAACCAATAAAAATAGAGGGGGGAAATCTGGATTTTTCCTGGATGTTTACGGCTGTCTCTTGCTGAATGTGAGTTCCTTGTACAGTGGCATCTTGTAAGCCATGAACAGGTCTTGCATATCATGCTGGGATTCACTGTGGTGCACATAGCACTATCAGAGAGACTCATGCGAGAACAGAGGTCCCCAACCTCTTTGAGCCTGCAGGCAGCTTTGGAATTCTGACACAACTACAACTACAAGATGGCTGCTGCAGGAGGCGGAGCCAACCACAAAATGGCTGCCATGGGAGACAGCGCAAACCATAAAATTTCAGGGAGTGAGGCGATGCATAACCCTCAGTAAGGTTTCCCTTGCTTGAAAGCTAGTCAAATCCGACTCTAGGGGCTGGTGCTCATCTCCATTTCCAAACCGAAGAGCCAGTGCTGTCCAAAGACTTTTTCCATGGTCATTTGGCCGGCGTGACTAAACGCCGAGGCGCACGGAACGCTGTTAGCTTCCCACCGAAGCGGTACCTATTTATCGACTTGCAGTTTCTTGTTTCCGAACTGCTAGGTTGGCAGGAGCTGGGGCCAGACGACGGGCGCTCACTCTGTCACGCGGCACTCAGGTCTCGAACTGCCAAGCTGCTGACCTTCCGGTCTGCAGCTCAGCGCCTTAACCTCTGAGCCACCACAGCCTCAGTAGAAACTCTCAGTAGAAACGCTTTCATATTCCGGGCAGGAGCTCTGTTAAACAGGATGCCTTTTTTAACGGATGATCTTGCCTACACACAGTTTACCTGCAGTCACACGGTGGAGATGCTTGTGCTGCGTGGCAGCTGCTGCTGAAGTCATCTTTCTTGAACCAGCACGGTCAGATCTCCAGTGGCCAGTCAAGTGCGCCAACCGGCCCCACCTTGTTTCTAAAAACAGGAAAGGTATCAGCAGAGGTAATTTCGGGGGGAATCGCGGGGTACATGGGCGGGGCACATGACGAAGCCCCGCCCCCTGCTTCCGGCCGCCCCGCTTCCGGCCCTCATTCAGCCAGGAGGAGGCAGGAGAAGAGGGAGGGTAAGTTGCTTCCTCCCTGCCTCTCCCCACCCTTCCAACTCTATGGTTCTATGGCACAGAGACATCAAGAGTCCACAGGACACAGCTACTGTTTCATTACCACTAGACGCACCCCCAGGCATTTACTTGTTGACATCTTGTGTGCTGCTGTTTTATCCTGGGCCGGTGGCGGCGGCCGGGACCGTTGGGGGCGGGGTGTGTGGCCTTATGACACACTTCCGGTGATGTCAGGGGGTGTGGCCTTATGACACACTTCCGGTGATGTCAGGGGGTGTGGCATTTGCTAATGAGTTATGCTAATGAGTTCCCCTAGCTCTTTTTCTACGCTTTCCCCTGTATTCCTCTTCCCAACCTATTTCCTTTTTACTCCTCCTGGCAAACCCTCTACCCTCACCTTTCCCTCCTTTGTTTCCTCCTTCCACCCGCCAATCAGCCTTTTATCTATCATCCACCTTAAGCTATATTTAGTAAATTTACTTCATTTAAACCCCACCTCTCTCTACAATGGAGACGTAAAGCAGCTTGCATCATTCTGGTTGCTTTCAGTTTATCCTCACAACAACCCTATGAGGTAGGGTAGGGTGAATGTGTGACTGGCTGAAGGTTACCCAGTGAGCACCATGGAGGAGTGGGGATATGAACCTAGGTCTGCCAGTTCCTATTCTGAAATTCTAACCGCTACAAAACACTGGCCTTTATGGGGTGGCTGCTGTTGAGCAGTAGTAAGCAGTTGGGCCAGGGTGAGTTATAGAAGTTTTATGGTATCTCATTGCCTTGTGGTTACTGCCAGGCCTGGCCCTAGTGAGCCCTCAAAGGCTAAAATAATCCTGGAAAGCCCCTCCGCCCTTCTTTACTGATAGAAGGCTGTCAGTACTGTTGTGGCTACCTAGCAATGGCCACTGAAGACATTCATCTTGGTGCTTGGGGGGGTCAACCGTGGGAGGGCTTCTAATGTCCTGGCCCCACTGGTGGACCTCCTGATGGCACTGGTATTTCTGGCCACTGTGTGATACAGAGTGTTGGACTGGATGGGCCTTTGGCCTGATCCAACATTGGCATCTCTTATGTTCTTATGTTCTATGATTCTACGTGGAGTGGGACTTTTCTCAGTGGTAGCCCCTAGAGCCATAAAAACGCACCCCCAGGCATTTACTTGGTGACATCTTGTGTGCTGCTGTTTTATCCTGTTGTTTAATCCCGTTGTTTAATTCTGCCATTTCTTCTTGTGCTGCATTTTAGTCCAGTATTTGTTTTGTTTTAGGATTTTATGTTCTAATTGTGTCACGTTTTGCACGTCGGTGCTTTGGAGACTGAAAGACGGGGCCGAAACGTTTTACAAAAATACGAGTTGGGTCAAAAAAAACCCTGAGATTGCACTTACGTGTGTTGCGGTTTTTAAAAAACAAATTCTGAGTAGCAGAATTGAGCCGTCAGATTGTGATGTTCCGTCGTTATCTGTGTGATCTTTCAGTGGTCGGGAGGGAGAGAAAAGTTGTGACGGAAGGGTTGCTGAAGGTACGGTTGTTACCAAGCTGCATCCGTTCATGGGGACTTCCTGTGGTTTTTGCATCTGATCAGAGACTTGATGGCTGACACAGTCTGGTAAACTTGGACCTGTCTGGCTACATAGCCCTGTCTCAGATGTCTCCTTTGGTGGTGGGGGGGAGAGTCTTGCTGCGGCTGCTTAAATAAACAGTGTGTTGCGTTAAATGACAGGGGAGCTGGGTTAGCCGGACTCATCTATAAGGTGCCGCACCTGTCTGGTTCATTTGCATAGAAGCCGCTTTGCAAACACAGGGTCTAGTTCCAGACTTTGACCTCCATCGCCAAAACCTTGCCTGGATATATGTAGACTTTCAGACCTTAACCTCTCCCTTCCCTCCCCCATTTCCTACATCCAGATATATAGAGAGGAGGGCATTGGTCTTCCTGCATTCAGTGCTTCCTAATCTATCCTTGCAAGAGTCACGTCGAGGTACTTCACTAGGTGCTAATACTCTCTGCCCACAATTTACAGGTGGGGGGACCGCGGCTCGTGGGATGGGAGCCCGCGGGGCCCATTATTAATAGGCCAAGCGGCGCGAGGTGCGTGCCGACCCTGTTCCGCCTCTGTCACGGCATGGCACTTTGGTGCGCTCAGCCTTGCCCACATCTTTATAAATAATGGAGCAGGATATGTTTTATCTTCCCCCTGAAATGATTGCTGAAATGTGGCTTTCATTTGAACCCCTGCCAAGCTCTTGTCACTGGCAGGATTCAGAAGTTGGTGGTGGTGTTGTTGTTTTTTTAAAAAGTCATTAATTGTTTTGGTCTCTCCCCTTCCCGCCCTCTCGGTACGGGCATCCCGACAGACAGTGCTCTTTTTGAGAATGCCGGGGAGCAAAGACCTGTCGGTTTGTGCTCCTCTCGGCCTTGGCTGTGTTGCAGTCGTAGAAAGAGAGTCAGGGAGGGGAGGATGCATGTTTCGTACGTGCTCAGGAGCAGGGCGCAGAGTCACCCTGTCTGAGTTCGGGATTTCCGGAGATTTTGGGGGTGGAGCCTGGGGAGGGTGGGTTTTGGGGAGGGGAGCGGCCTCAGTGGGATGTAGAAGAAGAAGAGACTGGATTTATACCCCGCCCTTCACTCAGAGTCTCAGAGCTGCTTACAAACTCCTTTCCCTTCCCCTACCCACAAGAGACACCCTGTGAGGTAGGCGGGGCTGAGAGAGCTCTGAGAGAACTTGTGACTGACCCAAGGTCATCCAGCCAGGTGCAAGTGGAGGAGTGGGGAATCGAACCCGGTTCTCCCAGATTAGAGTCCGCGCACTTAACCACTACACCAAACTGGTAATAGGATTGCTAACCGTGGGCTGGGAAATTCTGCAGATTTGGGGGTGGAGCCTGGGGAGGATTGAGTTTGGGAGGGAAGAAAGCTCAGTGGGGACACGACGTCCCTCAAGGACCTTCTGTTTCTGCTAGACTCTCTGGGATCCAGGACACACAGAACACGCCCCCTCCAAAGCTGCCATTTTCTCCAGGGGAATTGATGTCTGTAGTGTAGAAATGACTTGTAATTCTGGGATAAATGACTTGTAATTCTGGGATATCTCAGAACGAGGCGAAGGCCAAGCAGGACAGATCCAGCGTCCAGGGCCCCTCCCACCCCTTAAAGTTGCTTAGGAAAAGATTAGAATGAAGAAAGGGCAACCCCATGGTGACTTCCCTCCTGGAATATGCATTCTGGTGGCCAGCAGACCCCAAACAATAAGAACCAGAGCTGTGGGCCTCTCTTCCAAGAAAGCTTCTGGCCTTTGGCTTCCTATCTTTTACACCCGAGGAGCCCGCTCCTTTCACATCCACTTCATCAGCAAGCTTTGCTTCCCGGAAGACACTCACTTCCCCCGGCATCCGCGCACACCCTCTCACCCAGCCTTGCTTTCTCCTTCCTTCCAGAAGTTTCCAGAGCTGAAGTTCAAGTACGTCGAGGAGGAGCAGCCCGAGGAGTTCTTCATCCCGTACGTCTGGTCGCTGGTTTACAACTCCGCCGTGGCCCTTTACTGGAACCCGCAAGACGTCCAGCTCTTCACCATGGATTCGGGCTGAGAGAGGGAGGGCCCGGCTCCCCGCCCAGTGCGTATCTGTGGCCGGCCCCCCTCTCCCGGAGCACCTCCTTCCAACCCGGAGCCTACTAAGGAGGATGCTCGTTTCGCCCAGGGTGGCCCCACTGCTCTTTTCGGGGGTGGGGGCGGGTCGGCCTCCAGGAGCCGGGCAATGGGACGAGACCAGTCATGCTAACTTTTATTTGTATATTTTGTAAAAAACCAGGAGACTTTCCAAGCGGATATTGTGGGGGGGGGGGGTGCGCACGTCAGACATGAAGAAAGAACACTGGCACCAGCCAGGTCCTAAGCGTAACATGGATGGATCTGTGGGAAGATACATTTCGCTTGAGAAATCAGCACTTGCAACTTGGTTTCCTTCCAGATTTCTGTGACCCCGGTCGGCCTTCTCATCAGGGCCCATTTACACAGTGCGCATAACAGAAAAGCGATCCAGATTAACGCAGAATGCTTTTAATACCGTTGTGCGTTAATTGTATCGCTTACCTGGAGGGGAAAGGGAAAAGCCTCGATTTCAACAAGGTTGAGCAGTTCGGTGAAAAGACGCACGTTTTTTGACAAGGCACGGTGAAATTTCTTTTTCTGGGCACTGATTATTTGCAGACGCCGAGCAGCGCCGAGAGCAGCCCCCCTCCCCCCCAGCCACTTCCACACTAATGAAGATTGTGCCAGAGTTGGTCTCGTTGGATCATGTCCTTTCACTCCCACAGGGTGTTAAGCACATTATTATTGCATGGGGGGGGGCGGCGGCAGGGGATTGAAATTGACCGTGTGAACCAATTTTTGCAAAGAGAGGGGTGAAGGAGATACACCATGAAACAAAGCACTGACTAACTCATGACAGTGGGAGGGGCGCACGGGGAAAACCACCCTGGAAGAGCAGTGCCACCACCCCCTAGGTGGTGGCAGTGCCCGCTCCACCTTCCCGTGTGTTTCCAGGAAACCAGCACGATGTGGATTCACACACATGCCTCTAAATGGGGGGGGGATGAATTTCCCACAATACGCGGGGGGGGGGAACCATTCCTGGTTTAAAGGGAATTGACAAAATGCCTTGGAGGACCGGCGCAGGGGCAGGTGTGGGAAGGGAGGAAAGCTTTTAAAATTAAGGTCGCCGCTCCAGGTTGAAGGTGGGCTCACAGAGGCCAGCTTTCGCTGAGCGGCGTGCCAGATTGCAGAGGGAAGGGAACCGGGAACATGTGCTGGTTTATCGCCTGATGGAGCATGCTGTGTCACGGAGAGAGTATGGCACATTTATTCCATTGGTACGGGGAGGGGGCTGGGGGGGGCTTACAAGCCTGCTGGATGGCTCTTACGCAGAATACCGTGCTCTCTTTTCAGACCTCCTGACAAACGTTAGAATTATGGTTTCCTCCTTGCCTATTTATCAGCAAGGTCCGGTAGGTTTTGTTTTTTGTGTGTGCACAATCAGAATTTTTAAAATCCCTCTCATATTTATTTACAGCTAGAGAGACACACAGAGCATGGACGTTTTATAGGACTTTGCACTAAGACAAGTCTGGGGAAGAGGCAATATGAGCACGGGAACGCTCGCGCTTTTTTTCAGTGTCACGCGTAAAAAAAAATGGCTGAAGAACAGGCGTGCCATTTTACGCTGTGTTTGGGTCCGGTTTTATTTTTTAATACCTTTTTGTCAAAAGGAGAGTGGATTCTTTGTAGTGTTTTCTGCAATCTTGCCTTTAAATAAAGGACTGTTGACTGCACACTTCAGAAAGTTTGGTGTTTTTAAAGGTGCCATCCTAAATTCCATATTCTGAGGGTTGTCTGAATAAGCTATATTTTCAAGGTGGTACATAAGAACATAAGAGAAGCCATGTTGGATCAGACCAATGACCCATCCGCTCCAACGCTCTGTGTCACGCAGTGGTTCAAACCCAGGTGCCATCTGGAGGTCCACCAGCGGGGCCAGAACTCCAGAAGCCCTCCCACTGTTGCCCCCCAAGCACCAAGAATACAGACCATCACTTGCCCCAGACAGAGTGTTTCATCTATAAATTGTGGCTAACAGCCACTCACAGACCTCTGCTCCAGATGTTTATCCAGTGCCCTCTTGAAGCTGTCCATGCTCGTCGCCGCCACCACGGGTAGCCATGCTGGTCTGCAAGAGAAAAGCTAGCTTGAAGTCCGGTAACAGAGACCAACCAGATTTTTTGGGGGTAGAACTTTTCAAGAGTCAAAGCTCCCTTCGCCAGACAAGCTTTGACTCTTGAAAGCTGATACCCCGAAAGTCTTGTTGGTCTCTAAGGTGCTAGTGGACTCGAATCTAGCTCTAAATAGTTATATGCTTTAGTTAAGTCAGCAGATGCTGGACTCAATTTTACTAGCTTCATTGAAAGAAGTCAGAAGAGCATTGCCCAGTCAACCCTTGTCAAGGACCACCTGGGACTTCAGACTGGGGAGAATGTCTGCCAGTTATAGAAACAGTTGGAGGGTGGTTTCTCCTCTATCTATCTTATCTATCTATCTATCTATCTATCTATCTATCTATCTATCTATCTATCTATCTATGTCTATCTATCTACCTATCTATCTATTCCAGTCAAGAAGGCACTTGCCCTGACTCAGGTAGCCCAGGCAAGCCCGATCTCGTCATATTCCGGAAGCTAAGCAGGGCTGACCCTGGCAAGTACTTGGATGGGAGACCTTCAGGGAATACCATGGCCAGGAGGCAGAGGCAGGCTATTAAGTGGTGTAGTGTAGTGGTTAAGTGCGCGGACTCTAATCTGGGAGAACCAGGTTTGATTCCCCACGCCTCCAATTGCAGCTGCTGGTGTGACCTTGGGACAGTCACAAGTTCTCTCAGAGCTGTTCTCTCATGAGCAGTCCTCGAAAGAGCTCTCTCAGCCCCACCTACCTCACAGGGTGTCTGTGGTGGGCAGGGGAAGGGAAAGGAGTTTGTAAGGTGCTCTGAGACTCCTTTGGGTACTGAAGGGTGGGGTATAAATCCAGTCTCCTCCTCTTCCTCCTCCTCTTCTTCTTCTAATCCATGAGCCCTATAAGTAGGGATGCCAGCCTCCAGGTGGGGCCTGGGGATCCCCCAGAATCACAGCTCATCTCCAGACTGCAGGGATCAATTCCTAGCCTGGATCTGGCAAGCCTACCCCCCCACACACACACCCCACCGGTGGCCAGAGGGAACCTGGCAACCCTCCCTGTGAGGTGGGCTGGCGTTGCAGGTAAAGGCGCAGAACCTTGAGACTTGCCAAAAGTCACGTCTACAATGAAATTTGCACTGGAGGTCTCCTGACTAGACCTTCTGGGCTTAACAGTTACATTGGAGGAGATCCGTCCTGCAAAGACATTTCTGTGGTGCGACAAACATTCTCCTAGGTAATACGCTTAAGCGGGGATCTTTGAGCAGATGTCCATCAAGTGAGCGCAGTCCATCTTGCAGAATGAATGAATAATGAGCCCACCCAGGTTACGAGAAACCTCTTGGAAACGTCTTCCTGGTTAACTGCTTGACTGCTACGTTACACCAGAAAACATGCGCCTACTCTTGTCTGGGAGGTAGACTTAGCAGCTTGGGGGGGGGGGAGTGTATTTTTCTTTTGTAATTGTGTTAACTGACATAAAAAAGCCTTTTCAAGGAACAAAACAGCTTACTGAAAGCAAGAAAATTAAAACAGGAAGTATATGTATTGCCTCCTCCCTCTTCTATATTCTTTCATTCGGTGTGATAAGTATCCACTTCCTTCCTGAGAGCCAGTCTGGTGTGGTGGTTAAGTGCGCGGACTCTAATCTGGGAGAACCGGGTTTGATTCCCCACTCCTCCACGTGCAGCTGCTGGCGTGACCTTGGGTCAGTCATAAGTCCTCTCAGAGCTGTTCTCTCAAGAGCAGTTCTCTCAGAGCTCTCTCAGCCCCACCTACCTCACAGGGTGTCTGTTGTGGGGGAGGGGGAGGGAGAGGAGTTTGTAAGCTGCTCTGAGACTCCGAGTGAAGGGCAGGGTATAAATCCGATCTCCTCCTCCTCCTCCCGTTTAGAGTTTTCTGTCTTGTATTTTTTTGATTAATTTTTATTTGTTTTATCCATCACTTTTACATTCCATATTATTTAGCATCTTACAATTTTTCCTCCCCTTCCCTTCCCTCCCTCCTCCCTTCCCTATCATCGTGTAGCCCTTACTCTTTTCTCTCCAGCCACGGCCACAAAGTCAAGATCTTCCACCGAATGTCTTCCCTTCCCTCCTTGGATATCCACTCCAGATAGGTCCTCCACCTTTTCCAGATTTCTGCGCATTTCCCTTCCCAGGGTGCCTCCTTGCGCAGGACTGCCGCGATGTCAGACTGTATAAAATCATCTGTCTTGTATTTTTACACAAGCCATGGCTTGGTGGCAGAGGGTCTGCCTGGCATGTGGACGATCCCAGGTCCAAGCTCCAGCAGCCCCAGTGATGTGAAAGACCTCTGCCTGAGTCCATGGAGAGCTGCTGACAGTCAGAACAGACTGTGATGGACCAATGTAAGTTTGCCAGCCACAACCCCACCACCACCACCAGTGGCAGGGGATGGGGGACTAGGGCTGCCAGATCCACGTCGGAAAACTCGTGGAAATTTTTAGGATGGAGCTTGAGGAAGACAGGAACCTCAGTGGGGTGCGATGCCCGTAGAGTCCACCCTCCAAAGCATCCATCTTCTTCAGGGGAACTGATCTCTGTAGCCTGGAGAGGAGCTCTAATTCTGGGGGGGTCCCTAACCAATTGTCTAACTATAGTTAACAACCCAAAGCATGGACGAAGCTACCAAATAACACAAACCATGGGTTTAGTCAAAGTGGTGTCAGATTTGCAATTTGCTCTTACCAATAAAGAACTTCTGGAGACAGACTTCTTTTCAATGAAGCAGAATAGTATTTTACTGAATACACAGCCTGCAAGCGTGGGTGCACAGCTCAAAGAACTGGACACACACCGTTGATCCAATTGTAAGTTTAAGTACATTTTCTGACCCGACGTAAGGAAATTAACAAATGCTGTGCCGCTTGCCACTGGCTGACAAGAAGCACTTACAACTACCAATCCCAAACGCATAATTGTTCCTCAAAGACCACCCCTTTCTTAAGACGCTGAACTGCAGGCTGTGGAAGGTCGGTAGTTCAGCAGTTCGAGACCCGGGTGCCGCATGACGGAGTGAGCTCCCGTCTCTAGTTCCAGCTCCTGCCAACCTAGCAGTTCGAAAGCAAGAAATTGCAA